AAGACCAGCCTGGGCAACATAGCAGGACCCTATCTCTACAAAAAACAAAGAATTAGCTGGGCATGATTGCACATGCACATGCCTGTAGTCCCAGCTACTCAGCGGCTGAAGCAGGAGGATCGCTTAAGCTCAGGAGGTTGGGGTAAGCCATGATAGTGTCACTGCCCTTCAGCCCGGGTAAGAGTGAAACCCTGTCTCTAAAATAAATAAATGATTCCAACCACCTAAACAAACACATAGAAAGAAAGATACTGAAACAGTAAATGCTATGTTTGTTTATAGTTTACCATATTTTCTAGATTTTCTAGCGAGATTAGATGATTTTTTACATTAGATTTTTTTCTTTGATACAAGGAACGGTATCACAGTACTGTTCTTAATCTTAAGGAACATAGATTTTTATCTGTTTTATTTTTGCCTTTAAAAAAAATTAAGGGCCAGCCACAATGGTGCATGCCTGTAATCCCAGTACCTTGGGAAGCCAAGGGAAGGGAAGTGGGGGCAGTTCTCTTATCCTAATTCATCTCTCTTATGAGGTAAACATTGCCGTCATCTTTCCAGAGGCAGGAAAGAGGCTGAGAAATGCTCAGGTCCAAGATTACCCGAGGGTCAGAGCTATGGTTCAGACCCAGGCTGTGGGGTTCTTGGTGCTCCTTGAACGATCAGAAAGAAACAGAAGGGAAAGGGCCAAGGAGGTGAACACAAAACCAGGCAGTAATTGCTGTCATCTGTAGAAGGTTGCTTTAAATGGGTAGAACTGTGGATGATTTTTTTTTCCTCCACTCTTTTCCAGATTTTCTGTAATAAGATATCACCTTTTTATTTTTATTTAGGGACAAGAAAAAAACTCTGACCACTTGAATTCACTGAACTGTGAGCAGCAGGAGAGAAAACAAGCTATATCACCTGGCCCCATTCTCAAGGGGAATAAAGGAGTTGGGGTGATGGGTAGGAGGGGGCAGGGCACACAGCTCCCACATGCACAAGCCATACCTGGCATCATGGGGCTGCAGAAATCACAGGATCTGGGGGAGGAGGCTGGTGCCTGTGTGTGCACATGCGCATATGTGCTGTGGGGTCGCTGGGGAGGAGGAGCAGGGTGTCTACGGAGATTTCTGCAGAGGTGAGACTTTGCCCTCAGGGGGAGCCTGCTTGCCCTGCAGTTTCTCCACGCCTTTGGCCACAGTCTCACTCACCGAGTAGGATGCCGTCAAGCACATTTTCAGTGTTTTTTTGTTTTGTTATTTTTTGTTATTTTCTGTCGCCCAGGCTGGAGAACAGTGGTGCTATCTGTGCTCACTGCAGCCTCCGCCTCCTAGGTTCAAGCAATTTTCCTGCCTCAGCCTCCCCAGTAGCTAGGATTACAGGTGCGTGCCACCAGGCCTGGCTAATTCTGTGTTTTTAGTAGAGATGGGGTTTCACCACGTTGCCCAGGCTGGTCTTGAATTCCTGACCTCAGGTGATCTGTCCACCCTGGCCTCCCAAAGTGCTGGAATTACAGGCATGAGCCACTGCCCCCAGCCCAAGCACATTTTCAAAACATTGTTCACTGTTGCTATTTCCTTACATTCAGCATTCTCTACCACTGAGCAGGAAGAGAGGCATTTGCTGAGGATGAGGCAGTACTCAGAGGTGAGGGAGAATTAGGGCAGCTTCGGTGTTAGTGGGATCGGGGTGCACAGACTGTGGTTGGGGAAATCCTTTCCAAACGTCCCTTCTCGCTGGCTGCCCTAATTCAGAGGGTGGCATTTCTCAGAGCTCTGTGTCACCTCACTGTGGTAATGGGAGCTCAAGCCCAGGTGAGAGCAACAGGGAAATTCTTAGCTGTATAATTCTAACAAAAAGAAAACTCATGGGAAATCCATTTTTTGCAGAGAATTTGCTAATGATCTTCTCACCCCAGTAAAAATGCTTTTATTTTTTCACGCCCCTTGTCAATTTGCCTTTATAGGATTCCCACACAAAACTGTGGGAAGTCACTCTGTGCTTTTAGCGAGCCATTTCCAGAAAGTGATAGGTTTAGGGATGACTGACTGGTGAGGAGACAGCTGGGGTGAGTCTGAGAAAGGGAAGCGGCTCAGCGGCTTGGCACTGGCACAGTCGAGGTGATGTATGTGTGTAAGCGGGGGCGGCAGGTGATACAAACAGGCCTGTGCCTGAGCTGGCAGACAGGAGAGGAGGGAACAGGTCCAGGGGGCACCAAGGGGACAGGCTCTTGAGCAACCAGTCTCAGGAGCTTGGAACATCTTATGATGCTCACAACAGACCTGGAAGGTAGACAGGCAGGCATTTCACCTTTGTATACAGGGGTTTAATGCTGAGTGACAAGCCCACTTCCCTAAGGTCACCCAGCCATGAAAGGGTTCCTGGAAGGTGGGATGACCCCAGAACAAGGATTCTTTTTATCCTAGATAGCAAAGTGTCCTTAGCAAAGACATGGGGCTCCCAGCCTTCCAAAAGCAGAAGGAAGAAGGCTGAGCTGTGGAGGGCAGAGGTAGGGTGAGGGGTGGGAAGGATGGGAGATGGAGCTCTTCCAGAGCTGGAAAGATGGGAAGAAAAATGTACAGTGGCTCAAGTCACCAAGGTGGGTGGACAAGGGACACGTTTACCTAAAGCTCTTAGGTGATTTCTGGCTCCACAGCTGGGCCTCTCTGCCCATCAGTTAATTAAATCCTAGATGGTATTTTTCTAATGAACCTTTACAGGATGCATGGGGGAGGTTGGGAGGTGGGAGAGGGAGAAGCATGGTGCCAGGTGGCCCCTGTTTTCATTCTGCCCTGTTCCATCTAACTGTGTCACCCTGGAAAAATCACTTTTAAAACAAGAGGAAAATAGCAATGATAGAATTCTATGCCCGTCTCCCCCCAGCCTCCTTAGTCACACTTTTTTTCATCACTCTATTGACTTCTGGTGAGAAAATGATTTTAAGTATCATGCAAACCCTTTCTTTTCATGAAAGTCAGGAATATACTCAAATGAGTATATTCAGGCAGCTGAGTCCTCACCAGGGGGAGTGGGCTTCCACCCACACCTCCTGAGACCAGACTCTGCACCAGCAACTCAGTAATCTCCCACCCAAGCTTGGTGTGACTTTCCTTTGCTGACGGCAACTGCCCAGAGGATTCCTTCATTATCATCTTTCTATGAATCATTCAGGGTAAATACCATCTCTGTTTGCATCTGGAGAAATAAAAATATATTATAAAAAAGAAATGAATATCTGTGATGTATCTCAAAATAGCACCCAGATGCGCTGGCTCCCCAATTCACCTTTCTGACTGTCCAGCTCTTCCTTGTCTTGCTTCGTACAACAGAGGCAGCCTGGGACCCCCAACTTCAGATATCTCGGCTAAGTTACTAAATTATCTTGGACTAAATGCAATGAGGCAGCTCAGCAGAACCCAGTTCCTAATTCTGACCCATTCTGATGAGCCTGTCCTAACTCCTTCCCCACTGCAGGTGCCCCTGCAGTCACATGCTTTTGTCAAATGATCTGCAGCTTCAGGCTGCTCCCTCTGCAGAAAAGAATAGGGGGAAAACAGAGAGAGTAAAAAAATACACACATACTCATACATATCTCACAACCCTCGACTTAGAAAGCACAACTGCTTTGTTACCTTTCCCCAGAGTCCCCAGTGGTCAGCAGCACAGCCTCTCAGGCCAACTCCTCCTCCCCCACTTGGTCCAAAAGAAATAGCACTTTGCTGAGGGGACCTGCTGATGTCTCACCCTGGATCAGAAATGGAAATGTATTTCTGAGCAACTGGGCAGGGAAGGGGACTGATGAAAAAGTTGAGTCAGCCTTTCTCTCTCTCCCTCTCTCTGTCTTCCTCTCTATCTCTCAGTAGGAGGCCCACCAATTGCTGAGCCTTTCCACCAGGCTCTCAGCATCCTCTCCCCTAAGAAACTTTGTGACTCACAGTCTGTTCGTGTAGCGGGGCAGGTGAGCAGCCCAGCAGTCTCAGTGATGGGTTAAATGGGGAACCTACTCTTTCCAAACACTGACCCTCAAGTGCAGCCGGAGCCCCTGCCTTGCGGTGAGGGTGGGAGGTGAGCACAGCTCCAATTCTTTTGCTGGCCCTAGAAGAGCTGTCTGAGACCTGGGTTTTCATGGACTTATGTCTACTGGAATCACACACACACGCACAGCCCTTGGTGGGCTGCAGGCTCGCGAATGCAGTCCGTTCCTAGACTGGTCTGGGACTCCAGTGTTCCATTCAACAGAGCTGCAATGTGGGGCCCAACGCGCTCTCCCTTCTTCACCCACACTGCCTGCAAAACCAGAGGGATTCCTGGCAAATGATCAAGCAGAGCCGCGCATCATGAGGGTCTAACTGTTGCACGGCAGTGGAGGGGAGGCGGTGGAGGCGGGGAGGGATCAGGGCTGTGCTGCACCCTCTCAGTAGCGTCTCCTCCCTTCATCCCTGCGGAGGGCAAATCTGGAAGTTGGGGAACCTGGACCCTGCGGGGCGGTAGGGGCAGGCGGAGGCCGAATCCATCCAGGCCGGAGAGGCGAGACTCGGGCACTGGCTGCTCCCCGGGCCTCTGCGCCGCCGGCGCCGCCTCCCGCCTTCTCCGAGCCGCGCAGACGACCGGCCGCGGGCGTCTCCCTCAGCCCAGGACCGGCTCCCCGCAGAAAACTCCCAGGCACAAACCGCTTTTGTTAATTCCCCAAATGCCGCCACACGACCACCTCCTCCAGCACTCCGGGTCTGCGCGGCTCGGGAGACCCGCTTTCACCCGAGCCTCCGCCCCCCAAAGGACCACCGCCCAGCGCCGGCACGCGCCGGGCCCGGAGAGGACCCCAGGGTCCCCGGCCCGAGGCATCTTTGTCCTCGCAGCACAGACGCGCGCGCACAGAGCGACCGCAACAGCCCCGGCGGGCACCAGGTCCGTGGCCTGGATCCGCGCCAGGGCCGCGCTGGGGGACAGTGGTCCGCGCCCGGGAAGTTTGCGGAGTCGCCCTCGGGGGCCCAGCCCGGGCGCGGAGCTCTCCTTACCGTACATCTCGGCTGGGCGCGCGCCTCCCGGGAGGCCGGCGTTGCCGCGGCGTTCCCAGTCAGCCCTCGGCTGCGCCCGCCTTTCATTCACAGCCGGGGAGGGCGCTGGCGGCGGCCGGCAGGGGCCGGGGCGGGGAGGGAGCAGACGCGGGGGCCGGCAGCGGGCGGGACAGAGCTGGGCGCCGCCAGTCCATTCACTGCGGGGCTGGACGCGGCCGCCTCCGCTCGGGTGGCTGGGCCCGGCGGCGCGCGGGGGAGGGGGGGCGGGGGGGGCGGGGATATGCTAATGAGGACTCCCTCCCTCCCGGCTCAGCCAACCTGCGGCTGCTGCGAGCCCCTCGCCCCGCCCCGCTCCGCCCCTGCGCCCCCCGAGAAACCTACAGCCTGAGATGCGCCTTTTCCGAGGCTGTCGCCCTACGGGCTGCGGCGTGCACTTGGGGAGCCACCCATCTGAACTCTCTGCTCCTGTGGGAGCGCTTGGAAGCTCTTCCTAACCTGGGGTCCTCGAGGTCAGCCGGCCCGCCGGGAGCTGCAGGTGCACCCCTCCCCCAGTTCTGTCCAGGCTGCTTGGGCTAAGCCAGGGGGCGCAAGGATGGGAATTGGGAAATAACCCTTCACCCTCCCCTGGCTACCTTAGCTAAGTCGGGTTCTCAGATGAAGTCCTCTAGCCCTTAGCTGCGCCCTACCAGCTATGCTCTGGCTAGGTGCCCAGCCACTCTCTGGCTAGGTGCTTGCTACCAAACAGCGTCCTTCCTGGGTCAGGGACGCAGGAAACGCACCCCACTCCCAACCCCCAAGCGGGGTCAGGGACGCAGGAAACTCACCCCACTCCCAACCCCCAAGGGCTGCAGGAAGTCCGCTTGCTTTTCCTCTCCCAAATTTATATGTGTAATTCGCAATCTTTGCCGCCAGGATCCTTTACTGCTGAGTCCTAGGGCCCACTCGAATTCCAGCTCTCTACCTGCCGTGACCCTGTGAGGAACAGGCAGAGAGAGGCAGGGGCTCATGCCTATGCCCCACTCCCGAAGATCTCTCCCAAGCTAGCTCAGGACTTCCCTGGTCTTCTCATCCAGGCTTCTCTACACTGCACACGTTCCCCTGCCATTGTTTTTGTTTGTTTGTTTGTTTTGTTTTGACACAGGGTCTCTGTCGCCCAAGCTGGAGTGCAGTGGCCTCAACCACCACCTCCCGGGTTCAAGCGATTCTTCCACTTCAGCCTCTTGAGTAGCTGGGACTACAGGCGCATGCTACCATGCATGGCTAATTCTTGTATTTTTCGGTAGGTACAGGGTTTCACCTTGTTGGCCAGGCTGGTCTGGAACTCCTGACCTCAGGTCACCTGCCCACCTTTGCCTCCCGAAGTGCTGGGATTACAGGCCTGGGCCTGAGCCACTTCTCCTGGTCCCCCTAGCCTTTCAATATCGATTCCTTAGTTTCTCTTGCCCCATGGTTGAGAATTGTTTGGCTGTTTTGTTTTGCTTTGTTACTAGTAGAAATGCTCTGCTGGTAGAAGTCAGAGAGGAAAGGAACTTAAAGATACTTAAAAATTAAACCTAACTTCATTTTACTTCGTTTAACGTTGAGCGGTTAATTTGTGTTGGTAGGCTTGGCTACGTGTCTGTAGGCCAGTAATCTGCCATCCCAGCTTCCTGCAGGACTGTTGGGAAACTGGAATAAAATCTACATGAAATGACACAGTAGGCATGCATATGTATTTTTTCCTTCCTTCATGGCTCAAGGCATGGACAGAACCAGAGAAAGAATACAGGTTGCCAGAATTTTAAAACAGTGCTCTCTCTGCTGCATCTGAAACTCATGTTGTCTATTTCTCTCTAGCCTTGGCCCCCACCTCCAGCCCCTGCCCCACTCTCTTGCTGCTTCCAGGTTTTCTTCTTGTCCCTCGACCTTGTTTGACTCTCTTAGCAGCATGCCAGCCCCAAGGGAAACTCTGGGATGGTTCCTGGAACACACATTTAATCTGGACCCCCTCATCCCGGACACACACAACCCTGCATCTCACAAATAAGCTGTGTCTATTCTTCAGTTCCAGGACTAGGCCAGGTGGCTTTGAGATTAACTGAGAGAGGCCGGGCACAGTAGCTCATGCCTGTAATCCCAGCACTTTGGGAGGCCAAGGCGGGCGGATCACGAGGTCAAGAGATCGAGACCATCCTGGTCATGGTGGAACCCGGTCTCTACTTAAAATACAAAACAATTAGCTGGGCGTGGTGGTGTGGGCCTGTGGTCCCAGCTACTCAGAAGACTGAGGTGGAAGAATCACTTGAACCCAGGAGGCAGAGGTTGCAGTGAGCCAAGATTGCGCCACTGCACTCCAGCCTGGTAACAGAGCAAGACTCCATCTAGAAAAAAAAAAAAAAAAAAGAGATTGATTGAGAGTCAGATCTGAACTGGAGCAGAAAGGAGAATCTGGGCTCTAGCTTGATATGGTCTCCCAGATATACTCCCTTCCCACAATTCCACTCAACACAATATATACTCATGAAACATTGGTGTCTGCAGTACAGAAGGAAATGTAGTGTTTTCAAAGAATGAAAAGTCTGGCAGGGAATTCCAGATGAATATTGATAAAAACATTATTTGATGCCGAGCATCATGGCTCACACCTCTAATCCCAGCACTTTGGGAGGCCAAAGTGAGCAGATCATCTGAGGTCAGGAGTTCTAGGACAGCCTGGCCAACATGGTAAAACCCCATCTTTACTAAAAATATAAAAATTAGTCAGGCATGGTGGCACATGCCTGTAATCCCAGCTATTTGAGAGGCTGAGACAGGGGAATCACTTGAGTCCGGGAGACGGAGGTTGCAGTGAGCTTAGATTGCCTCTCTGCACTCCAGCCTGGGCAACAGAGCGAGACTCTATCTCCAAAAAAAAAAAGAAAAAGTTACGTGGCAAGAAAAAACATGGTCAATTTTGCATGAGAAGCACAGACCTCTATTTAGATAACTCACAAGCCAGATAGTTTAATTCGTTCTATCAGCTATTTACCAATCACTCGCTGTGACGTGCTAGACACTGTGGAAGATACTTAGGAACTGGGAGACATGTAAAAATTATCATAAAATCTTATAATGACTACGGAGGCACATATAAGGAGCAGAGAAGAGTTTCATGAAGGGAAAAATGAAAAAACACCATTCAGGTATGGGGAAGGAGTGGAGAGTTTCCACACCCTCCAAAGGGTGCCACCCTCCAGGAACCTCCACGTGTTCAGGTATCCAAGCTCCTCTTGGGTTTTTATGAAAGCTTCATAACGTCAGCATTCCTTCCCCCGGGGTAAGGTATGGGAACCTCTCTGGGGAGGATCTTAAGAATGACCATTCAGGAAAGATTAAAGTCCCGCCTTGGGGCAGGTGAAAGGACGGATGGAGAAGGAAGAGAGATTCTGTTTCCTGTGGCCTAACACACGCAATATTACAGCAAAAGACTGTAACAAGGGCTGTGGGAGTTACGTGGCAGGAATCGTGGAGGAAAACTAATGTCTTTCATAACAGCATAGCACTCAAGGTCCTCCCAACAGGGCCCCAGACTTCTTTCCCACCTGACTTCCACCCCCAGTTCCCTCCTCAACTGTGCTCCTGCAGACAGGCTTGGACAACACACTTACCATACTTTTTCCTCTACCATCTCTGACCTTTGCAAATTTCAGTCCCTCTGAACCACTTCAGCAAATTAACTGAACCCAAAGAGGGGATCATGGGAATCCCAGCTTGAAACCAGTCGGTCAGAAGTTTTGGAGGTCCAGATTTACTGGGTGTTGTTGGGGGCAGTCTTGGGGACTAAGCCCTCATCCTGTGGGATCTGACACTATCTTTCAGTGTCAGAACTGCATTAGAGGACACCCAGCTGCTTGCTGCATAGGGGAACCCCCGCACACACATTTATTTGGTCACAACTCATCTGCGTTGATTGTGGTGATGTGAGGGTAGAGGAAAAACGCTGTTATAGAGAATTGTCCCTGTACCAGCGCCCAACCCAAAAGCCTTCCTGACAGCTCCAGGGTTGGCAAAACCACGTCTCTACTAAAAATACAAAAATTAGCCAGGCGTGGTGGCACATGCCTGTAATCCCGGCTACTTGGGGGGCTGAGGCAGGAGAATTGCTTGAACCCAAAAGGTAGAGGTTCAGTGAGCCGAGATGGTGCCACTGCGCTCCAGCCTGGGCAACAATGTGAGACTCTGTCTCAAAAAAAAAAAAAAAAAAAAAAAAGACAAGATGGCCAATGTAATTTGAGTTTCAAATATAAATGGACTGATTTGTAATGTACGCCCCAGGTGGCATGTGAGACATACTAAAAACATTTTTTGTTTGTTTTCTCAAACTCAGATCCCACCTATGTTTTATCTGGCAAGCGTAGTTAGCATCAGCTATTGGAGGTGTTCCTGAATTCTCATGACTGAACCGGGCCTAGAGTAGGTCTCCCCACCCATACTCCCAACCTGTATTCCTAAACAGATCCCACTGGAATGCAGTTCCTAAGGAGACAGGGATAACGCCGCTTTGGCCAGTCTGTCCCCTTTGGTATGGGTGCCTTGGCCAGAGGTCTTTGGCCCTGCAGAAGCCAGTTTCTCCCATCTGTCTGTCATATGGCCTGTGAGAACCATGAAAAGAGGCTCTGATCTCTGTTCACCCCCCGGGGCTCAGCAGCCAACACTGTTCTCTGGGCTCCATGTGTTCAATGGTGAAGGAATCGGCCCATACCCAGCTTCTCTGAGGTGTAGTCAAGGTGTTTAGACAAAATATGTGCAGGAAACGGTGCCATAGAAGTTGACCACAATGGGTGGCACTATGCATAAGAGGAATCTGAGATACGGTCTTTGGGCTCACAGTTTCAAACAGTGCAGTGGCTCAGGCCTGAATTTCCCAGCACTTTGGGAGGCCAAGGTGGGTGAATTACCTGAGGTCAGGAGTTTGAGACCAGCCTGACCAACATGGAGAAACCCCGTTTTACTAAAAATACGAAAAACTAGCTGGGTGTGGTAGTGCACGTCTGTAATCTCAGCTACTCGGGAAGCCAAGGTAGGAAAATCGCTTGAACCCAGGAGGCAGAGGTTGTGGTGAGCCGAGATCACACCACTGCACTCCAGCCTGGGCAACAAGAGCCAAACTCCATCTCAAAAAAACAAAAAACAAAACAAAAAAAAACCAGAAGGGCGGAACTCTAGGTTCCAACTCTCCAGAATAGTGTGCCCCTGAAGAGGTGCTGAG